GCGACAATGTCGTCGGGCAGGCACAATGGTTCGTGCAAACTGTTTTCGAGCGGTCCACTTCATGATCAAAGTCTACGTGTTGCTGATCGGTGTTTGCGCGCGCGGCGCGCGCAAACCTTTAAGGGCGTCGGCGCGGCGCTGTTCCCTTCTCCAGCTGACGATTGCCCAGGGGGCCCGCGCTTCCCCCGAGTTCGCGAGCGGCACACCTTCTCCACTGACCGGATCCCCGACAACCTCGCCGGGTTCAATTAGTGACACCGCGCTCTTTGTCCATCGTCCAAGACCCGCGTGCGTGATGGAGTTAGCGACCTCGTCCATTTCAAGCAGCGCCACGCCGCGAAGTGGCAGCAGTTCCGCGTCGCGCGACATCCCGGCTTCGTACCTCTCGCACCTCACCACGCCAGCGTCCGGCGCCTCGTCCAGCCGCGTGCGAGAGGAGACCGCCGAGATGATGCACGACCGCTTCGAGGAGATGACGTCCCCCAGGAAGCGAAGGTCGACCTGCGGGGATGGCCAGGGGGGCAGGCGCGACCTCGCCGAAGACTCGCCCAAGCCGGCGAAGAGGAGAAGGCTCAAGAAAATGGAGAGGGCCGTCACCGACGCCCTTGCCTCGGGCGTCCCCACGCAGTGCTGCCACCGCCATTGCCACCAACTCTTCACGGCCGACGAGCTGGTGGCCAGGAAGGTCGTGCGGGCGATTCGTCGGTTCGACGAGGCGGACGCTGACCTCCGGGCGGACATCTCGCACTGCCGGGTGGGAGACGCCTCCGCAGTGGGGCCAGGTGGAGACGGCGTCCCCGCCGTGCCCCGTCGCCAGCGGTACGAGTGGAGGGTTAGGGGCAAGGTTGTGTGCATCAAGGCGTTCGCCTTGTGGCACGGCGTCTGCGCCGACACCGTGTACCGGAAGACCACGCAGGGGCGGGGTCGGAGCGGGGTTGTGCCGAAGGTGCGCCACCACGGAAACTGGAGGACCCACCGCCACGGGAAGGGGAGGTACGACTGCGCCGACTGGCTGCGGGACCTCGTCGGCCGCCTTGCCCAGCCCTTCCCCGACCGCACGGTCAGGGACCGGCGCACCGGGGAGGTCAAGGCCAAGGAGTTCCTGCCGGCGGGGCTGTTCTCCACCCTGCAGTCCGTCTACGAGTACTACTGCCGAGCGACGGCCGCCCGCCAGCCCCCCCAGGAGCCCGTCTCCTACACCACCTTCCGCAGGACGTGGCTTCAACGCCACTTCCAGGTAAGCTGCGGCCCGCGGCCCCAGGCCCTCCCCCTCGTCTTCCAGACACTCCAGGCACGTTTGGCTGCGGGCGTCTGTGGCAGTGTGCAGACGACGAGCCCTGAGCCCGATTTTTCTGCGGTTGCCGTCCCCAGGTGCGCACGTACCGGCACCAGCCCTTCGCCAAGTGCGACACGTGCGTGAGGCTGAGGGAGACCACCAACCTCGCCACGGGGCCGGCCAGGGACACCGCCCTGCGAATACTCCACAAGCACGAGGCGTACGTGGCCGCGGCGAGGAGGGCGATGGAAGAAAGGAGGCGGCACGCCCTGGACCACCCCGAGGAGGTCCTGTACCTGAATATCGACGGCATGGACCAGGCCAAAACGGCGATCCCGCGCGAAATGGCCAAAAGCAAGGCGGACGAGGTGGGCCTGCCCCTGACCACCAAGCTGATGGGCGGGATCGCGTACGGCCACGGATGGTGGGGCTTCTGGTCATTCCCGGAATGGGCGGCGTCCAGCAACCTCACGCTTACGTGCCTCTGCAAGATGATCAGAGATGTGGCCCGCTGCGACGCCGCCGCCCCGGGTCTCCTGCCCCCCCGGCCCGGCCTGCCCCCCGTGCTGCACCTGCAGATGAACAACACGGTGAAGGACAATAAGAACCATTACCTCCTCGGGTTCTGCACCATGCTGGTTGGGGAGGGGGTGTTCAGGGAGGTGCGCGTCTTCTTCTTGCCTGTAGGCCACACGCACCAGGAGATAGATGCCACGTTCAGTCTCGTTGCCTCCGCCATCAACCGCGAGGGGGCGCTCTGCTTGGAGGACCTGATGGGCGTGGCGCACCGGGCGTGGGGGGAGCACGCGAGTGTGGGGAGCTCGCGGAAGGTGAACACGCGGGTGGACCGCATTGCCGACTTCCGGCGCCTCTTGAGGTACAAGCGCGACCGCCGGCGGGGCGTCGAGGAGGAGGAGGAGGACGGCGAGGACGGGGATGCGGGCGTCCGTATGCACACCTTCAGAGGCCTCGGAACGGGATGGGACAACAAAAGGTGCGCTCGCAGTGGCCGGCTCGGGCGACCTCTGCTGTCCGCTCTTGTCGTGTGCGGGACTGGCGTGCGCCTGCGCGCGCGCCGCGCGCGCGAATGCGGAATTGCTGCCTCGACGTGCGCCTCGCTTCCTTCCACAGCCCCGATCCAGCTCGTGCGGTGTCACTTTCTTCCCGGCTTGCCACCCACAGCCTTGATTGCAAGCAGCGGCTTCACCCTGTCGCCGTGTCCTCCTCGCCACTACTCGTGGGCAATGAGCGACTTGCCTGCTAGGGAGGACCTGTGCGCCTACCCTTGGACGTGTCCTCCACACGGTCCCTCCCTTCTCCTAGTCAAGGGTGTGGTTTGTGTCCGCTGCCTTCCCAAGTTTGCTACCAGGCAACTAAGGTTCGCGCGCACGACGCGCGCAAACCCGCGCCGTTTCTGACAGCGTTTTAGGGGTACACCCCACGGTATATGCCGGTGTGCCGCCTGCCGCCTGGTCCGCCGGCGGACGGCGCTCGCCGCAATGACGCCTCCTCGGCTCCACAATGCTTCATTGCTGTGTGCGATCCTTTGGGCAGGTGCTTCCACTCCTTTAAGTTCGTCCTGGAGGGGGGGGAGCCCGTCGTGTTCGCCCGCGAACACGACAGGGAGGACAGCCCGTGCGTGGGCACGCCCGACGGCCGGGGATGGCCGGTGTTCGTCCCGGGGAAACCCGCCCCGAGGTTTGCCGACCTCCGCTGGGAGCCAAGGGCAGCACTTCAGGACTTCGAGGACGTCAAGAAGAGGGTCATCGGGAAGATTGGCAGGTGGAGGCGCCAACTTGACGTGTGTGGGGACCCCGCCGCCGCGGAGGACATCAAACGGCGCAAGCTCCACCGGATGGCCAGAACCGTGCGATGGTGGGAGGGCTTCATTGCCTCCCACGAGCGCACATTCCCTCTCGACGGGAGTGGCAGACCCACGTTCGCCATTGACGAGGGGGCCGCACTTCGGCTGGACAGCTTGTCACCCGCCGCGCTGGCCACCCCCTCCACTGCGCCCAGCAGTGCCTCCAACGCCCCCGCTCCACCCGTCGCAAGGTACGCGCGCCGCCGTGTGCAACATCCCGTCCGCCCGCGGTGATTCCACTTGCTTGCCCCCCCCCCCTCCCCGTGGTTGCCTCACCATCACACTGGCGGTGTCGCCCGCAGGGACATTGGCCCGGTGCCCGGGGAGCGCCCCCTGCTATTTGGACACCTCTCCGCTCTCCCAAACGACAAAGAGTATGTCCCCTTTGACGCCGCGCGAGACATAGCAGCCGGCCACCAGGTGGCCATCGCCATGTCCGACGCCGATGCCAAGGAATGGGGCCGGTGCTTCGACATTGCCCTTGTCAAGGGGGCCAGGGCCGCGGAGGGGTGTGATTCAGCGGTGAAGAAAGTATTCACAGTCGAGTACTACGAGAGCGAGTTCCAGCCCCGACCCCCCTACAACTTGGGGACCCTCCTTTTTGACGCCGCAGACGATGCCCAGCTGAATGGGCGCTGGGTGGAAGGGCGGCAAATACAGGGGAGGTGTCCTCCGACAACGTCATTTGCGATGTTTGGTTGGAGGCCAATGGGGTTGGGAGGGGGTGCATCCACCCCCAGTACAAACGGCGTCTCCAGGCGGAGCTGGAGCGTTGGGATGAAATGTGCTAGACAAGGGAGGGGCCATTTCTATAACTAGCGGCTTGTAATTTCCATAGTGTGCATCGCCAATTGTAATTGTTAGTGCGAAGCTATGCTGGACCCACAGCCTGTGGGTCGCATGCATTGAGTGTGGTTGGCTGCAGGCGTCCCCGACCGGCTTCAAACTAATTCTTTTTGTGCGCAACATTGTGGTTTCCTCCCGCGTGTGCTGCCCCAAAAAATGGCACGTTTGTGTGCATCCCTGTTGTTATGGCATTTTTCTTGCATTTTGCTAGTGCGCAAAATGCACGTTTTGTTGTTTTTTATGGCCCCCTTACCGACATTTTGCACGAAAGCTTGTTGCCCGCCAATCCTTTCCCTAATTCCAGCCTTGACACTCCATCAAAACGAACGTGCGCAACAAAAATAGCTACTTTTGATGAATTTCCAGCTCAGTTCTCCATTCCCAGCTCAGGGCTCAGTGCTAGCTTAGTCACACATCAGGGTTCGTACATTGGGGCTTGCGGAAAGGGAAGCTCTCTCCAAGTGAGCTCTTGGACAATTATAACAGAACATGACAATTAGTACGTCTTTGATTCACTGATTCCAGGCCATGCTCAGCAACTCAAACAAGGTTGCAGCAGATCAGATCAACCAATCAAATAACTAATAGTACACAACCTCAAGCTTGTCACCTCAGTAGGGTACTTAGAAAATTGCCAGAACTTCCCTTATCGAGGAACAAGAATTAACAGACTTGAAAATTCCAAAATCCAACACCAGGGTTCCCTTTCCAGCAGCGAATCTCTTTGACCCCTTCGCTTCACAAATCTGTGGTGCGAAGCGGTCAAAGAGCCCCGCTTCTCATTTCTTCTCTCAGCTCCCCTTGTTCACAGAAAGGGAACTAACTTAGGGGCAGTCCCAAGAGTTTAGTTCAGTTTCCACGGGAGCCCTGCGCGCATCATGCACCACGTGCGCCCGCTGGGTTCCGGATCGGGGCCGGGGCCAGGTTCGTGCGGCCACGCGGGGTCGGCCGCTGGGGCGAGCTGCCTGACCCGGGCGCCCCTGGGCCGGCGGTCCCCCCCCCTCCCGTCTCCTCATGGCGCAGTTCTGCGTCCCCACGCGGCGCTTCCTCCGCGACATCGAGGGCGTCTCAACCGACTTCGTCCTCAGCGCGTACGACGACCGGGTCGTCGTCGTGGCGACGCAGATCGGCACGGTGGGCACCGTCCTGCAGGCCAGGTGCGCCCGGGAGAACGGAGGGCCTGAAATTGTTGGAGCTTTGGGCCGTTCGAGGCTCTGAAACTTGCCATTTTGGGGCGAACAGGGGCATGAAGTTTTGGGAGTTTGGGGCCCTTTGAGGCTCTGAAACTTGCGATTTTGGGCGAACGGGAACTTGTGGCCGCCGGGTGGGGTGGACTGGGGGGTGGGTGAGGCGAACGCCCCTGTCCGACCTTTCAGAGGTGGTTGCTGCGGTCGTTGCTCCGGTGTTGAACCCGTGTTCCACGCGGAGCGGCGTAATTTGGGTCCATGTGTCGCCTGTTCGTATCAACAGGACATCAGCGTGCGAAAGAGGTTATTGTGTCAAACAGGGGTGGCCAACAGGCCTATGTGTCAAGCATTGTGTTAAACGCGGTGTGGAAGCGCTGCGAGAACTTCTTGTTCTGTTTTGATCGTGCTGGGTGGGTGAATTTGCAAGAAATTGATGAGGTGAATTGTGGGCGCTGGGGCGCATCTTCGTGGCAAGGGTGTACTGGAAGACGAGCTGTTCTGTAAAATGTATCAATAGGGATGCATCAAACAGGACAATGTTTGTGTACTGGCGCATCCAGCACCACTGGTTTGGTCTCTGCCCAAGCAGGTAATCGAAGAACATGGAAGGGCAGGAACCTAATCCTCCCCATCCCACGTGTGCCTGACCTTACCGCCTGAAAAAGAACGCGAAACAGAGGGTCAAAACACCCGCAACATCCCTCTCTTAATATTGACATCCATGGTTAAGCGTGAATGAACCAAACTTTATTCACTCAAATGATTTGGAAGTGATGATAGCAAGATACTCAACACTTTCATGGCACACCAGAACGGAAGTGTAAACTCTCACCTTGTGTTACTGCAGATACAGCTGTAATCAGCTTGGTTGCAAGGGCATCTCATTCTTGTGGATCAAGCAGCCAGCCTTGCGCACAGACAAAGGTCACCTTTGGGTGGTGCTTCTCAGTGGTGTTCTTTTGCTGTGGCAAGGCAGGCAAAGCCAAAAATTGACAGCAACAACAACAACAACGACAACAATGCCGGTTGTGGCTTTGAGGCACTTACAGCATTATGTTCTGTCTGCATCCCTCCCTTCCCCACTGCCTCATTATTTGAGCCTGATGTACCTTGTTCAGTTGGGTGGGAGACGTTTCTCATGCTTCATTGGCTCCTGTCAGCAAGATTTTGAGGCGCCTCCTCTCCCCTTGCTGCTTCCTGACAAAGCACCAGTATTTTTGCAGTCCCGAGACTGCACTCGATGGCAGTGTCACGTTTGGCGTGTCCGTGCTGCTGGGCCGGCGCGATCAGGAGGAACTTCTCCTGTGTGCAAGAAGGATCGTGGATGGGGCTTCAAAGACAGGCTGCAGAAGGTGCGTGGGACATCCAAGTTCTAAAATGAAATCAGCACAGGGTTCATGGGCCAAGTGATAGGCTGCAGAGGCACCACTGTCCTCTTCAGTGCATGTGCCAAAATGTGATGACGCTTGCCAAATGTGAAGTCAGGCACATTTCTTTCCAAGATTGCGGCCAAAATTGATGAAAGACTTGGGTATTTTGTATTCTGGTACGGTGTATATTTCTCTATGTTGTATCACTGCCAAGTACTGTCATCTTCCATTTGTATTTTTGGCTTGCATCCACTTCTCCTGAAGGGCTGCTCCATCTGCAAGTACGCTTTGGCGATCGTGGGCGTGCCTGCCTCTCTGCACATAGAAGATCTAGCAGAAATTGAGGCTCAGAGCTGGAATGGGCAGCATTGCTTCAGAATAATGGGGTCAAATGTTGTCAAATCAGCTCGATGAGAGCCTCAGGAACAGTGGACTCAGCAGAGTGGTATGGTTGGTACCCAGCAGCCCCTGACTGTCAGGCATGTAGTTTTGCCCCCAACCTCCCTTTGGCAATCATTCCATCACATTGGTATTCTGTTTGTCTATGTAGCAACGGCAGCTCCATTCTTCGATGGGTTTATGGGCACTTGCGAATTGATCAGAGTTGCAGGAAGTCCTGCACTGCAGACACAGTACTGGGCAGATGGGTTGCATCGCTTGTTGCAGCTTTGTGCAACAATGGTTAAGGCAGGAAGTGAGCTGAACTGCTAGAATATTCTAGCTTCTTCGCCCGGCAAACACAGCAGGCCAGATGAACTAGAAAGGAGGTCAGAAATCCCTCACTGAGTTAGTGAATGGAGGCCTGAGGGAGGAAGACAACGATGCAAGCAACCCCATGGTCCGGAGCACTGCGCACCGTTGCCTTGCAAGCTGCAAAAGACATTGTTCTGCTCTGCAAAAACAATGTAGTGCAAAGGAATTCGACTAGTCGAAACACCTAGGTGCCTCCTGTCACCTCAGCAGAAGGTTCCAAGCTGGAGCACAGCCCCAATGGCTGGGACATCCATGCAGGACAGAGACTCGCAAAAGAGAGGTACTGGCAGGGGAGCCCTGGAAAAGTAACAGAAAAGCCAGTGCATACTGGAAGTCCAGAGGTGGTCACTGTAGATGCACAACCTCTGCTTATGCCTGGCACTCATTAGGGAAAAGTGTATGCAGGGCTTGGCACTCAATAGTTTGGCCTTAGATACACGTTGCCCCAAAGGATATTGTCTGCGATTGGCTTTCCTGTTGCATCAGGGGTCACCAGCATCAGTATTGACAATGCTGTTGTAGCCACAACACTAGAGTAGCCATTGTAGCTGGGGCCCACTGTGGTCGAATGTGTGACTAAGTGTGCTGCATGAGCAGTGATACATCTGCCCAATACTTTGTAAGTTGCTGCTCAATGTGGCAGCAAGTCACATCCAAGGTGCTCTGGGTGCCACCCTTGAAATTGTCATATTAAACAGATATGGACAAGAGTGCTCAAAGGCCTTTTGCTGGTGATGGTGGTGGTGGAACCTCATTTTGCGACGTGGTTCATCCTGAAACAAGGATGAAAGTAGACCAAAGGCTAATGCTGTGCTCCTCAGACCATTGATCATCTGCCTTGGCCTTAAGTCCCCCACCATGGCCACAGTGAAGGGCATCATCGAGACCATCCTAGAGGACCCCATCTGGTGAAGGAGGGGGCAGCATGCCACGCCAGGACTGGACCTAACACGTGAGTCGTCGTTGCCATGGCCGCAGAGTGCTGCCTCGACCTTCTGCCATCGCCGACTTGAAGGTGCAAGGGCAGTGTATAGCACACGTGGGCCAGCACTGTTTTCCTTGCAAGGATTCCCATGTGGGACTCGACATTGGCAGCTCCCTGTCGTCCCGTCCTTTGGCCATTAGAGACATTCAAGTGGAGGGCATAAGCTCATTTTAAGGCATGTCGATTGCACCTTTTAACCTGTCAGAACAGAGGTACATTGACTGAGAAACTACTCATGCCCATTATGACGTTGGGGTGTGGGACGTGCTCTGGTCCATAGTCACACGCAGGCAATTTGAATCACACATGACCCATATGTCTTGGCTGACAGGGCGGAACCTCGGTACCCCGATTTGATGCACACAGAGTATGAAGCACAGCACGTTGTATTAACAGCACCGGAAATTAGATTTGTGTTGTTTTGTTTCCCGCTCCATAAGAACAAGAATTGAGAGACGAAACCCAAATCTGCAGAACAAGATCCGACAGGCATGTTGTTGGCAAAGTAGTTACTGTGTCTTATTCCTTGGCTTTTCTTCTGCAGGAACTGCAGCTGCAGTCTTTAAGGAACCATGGGTCCTTTGGGAAGCTTCCTGATGCGGTGAGAATGCTTTGCAGCGAACTCAGGGGGGGGCGCTGGCTCAAGAGACACACTCCTGTCTAGTGCAGGGTTATTGGCCAACCCCAGGGCCAGGAAATTTTGGACCAGTTTTCGACCCATGGGACAGGAGGAAATGGTTCAGGGAAACAAATGACAAGAGGGCCAGCCACACTGGTTCAGGACATTGGCTCGTTCATGGGCAGGGTTTAGGTTGTGCCTTGGTGCAGAATAGTGCTGTGAGGTACCGACTGAACCATGGGTCAGAGTTGCCAGTTGGACATGCTTGCCGCCCTCAGGGGTAAGAAGCATTGATTCAAGATGCAGTATGGTTTTTGGGGGGTTGGTTGTTTTGGGGCATGGATCTGCAAACAGAGAGTGGCGAGTGCACCCTAAGAGTATGTGAGGTTTTTCAGGATGGTATCTGAGTGCAATGTGCGATGGGTAGTTGGGTATCGACGTGCCTGCATCAAGTGACAATGTGGTGTTAAGTTTGAACAAGACAATTTGCGCATTCTCAATGCAACAGCCACAGTTTGCTTGTGTGTGTTTGTGTGTGTTTGTGTTCTGCTTCCATTTGTTGTCAGAATGCAAGGAGCATTAACAGTGGACTGTGTTGTGCATCAGTCCCATGCTGGCCGAATTTCAGTACATATGCATTTGTACAGATCCAAGCATTGTATCTCTGCAGTGGATAAAGCGACTTCACGAGGACGAAATTTCAATGCTGAGGCAAGAGGACGAAATTTCAAAGCTGAGGCTTCAAGACTCAGTGTGGCATTGGCCCCACTGGTGAGTTAGACGGTATAAACACCGAAATTGCCTTCCATCCAGTACCATCGAGCACGGACTGGCATATGTTGGACATGCGTGCTTCGTTTGAAGGGCAACTCCAGTGGCATGCAGCCAGCCAAAGTCGCGTTTTGGGCGGCAATCACATTGCACCGCCGCCAGCAGCACATGCCTTGCCTCCGCTCCCCACATGCTACAAAATGTGCCCGCACCAGGAACCAGGGCAGGAAGATTGCCCCTGCGAATTGACTTCGCGCTGACGAAGTCATGCAGGGTCGAGCGGTGGCGACCTGAACGGGGACTGTAGGCTCGAGTCCACGCCAACGGTTTACAGGCGAGCAAAGGGACAACAAGAGCTCTGTCCCTTTATCCAGGCAATTCCTAATGCCTCCTCACCTCTTGAGGCGTCCAGCTGTTAATAATGCTCAATCGATTCCAGTTACAACAGCACATTCAAAAATTCGAATCCGAATGTCCAAATTTGAACTCCCAGACTTGAGACGGCCCGCGCTGACGACTATTGCTCGGCGGCAGCGGGCTCCCGGTTCGAATTCCCGCGCCACGCCCATCCCTGCCCCACGCCCTCCTCGCCTCGGCCGCGCCCGCAGCCGCCGCTGATCGGCCGCCGAGGTCGCCGGATGGCCTTCACGCCGCGTAAGCTGCAATGGTCGCCCGTCGTCTTCCAGGGCGGCCGGCCGCTGATGCGCGGCGAGATGGACAGAAGGTCGGAGAAATGCACCAAGCGGTGAGCAAGGGCGAGGGCGGGGGGTAAGATTTGTGGCAGAGAGGAAGAGGGACAGGTCATGCGAATGGTGACCCCTCCTCTGCAAGCGCCCGCGAGACGCTGTTGGCGTTGTGTGCTGTGGAAGATGAGGTAGTGTCCCCAGTGCCGCAAGAAGAGCACACAACACAAGCACCGCAATGGGCAAGAAAATTCTTTTTTTTTGGGGGGGGGGCAGGGTGCCATGGATGTGGATAGCTGCGATGTTGTTTTATCAGTGGCAGAGGCGACGCTGCGAAACGCAAGCGGCGATCCAGTGTGCGCGCTTTCGCCGAGCAAGGCTTCTGCTGCGCGATTTGCGGCGCGATCAGAGCCGAGCTGGTCCATCGGTCGCTGCGGATGCGGGGAGGATCTGGGGACGGCGATGGCGATTGAGTTGGGCGATCTCGGCGCGGAGGGAGCCAGGCGGGTGCTCGAGGGGGCGGTGATTGGCAGGCGATTGGCGGGAGCGCGCGAGGAAACCATGCAAGGGAATGGAAAGCCGGGGACGAAGGGGAACAGGGCCTGTGCACGGGTAACATTTGCTACAAGAGAGAAAGGATCAGGTCATACGAAGGGCACCCCTCCAGAGCAAGTGTACGCGAGACTCCTTTCCTTGTTGTGAAAAGATGATACAGCGCCTCCTATGCGAAAAAGATGAGCACACAACACAAGCAACTCAAAAGGCAAGGGGGTTGTGTCCGGGTGGATCGGGAAAGGCGACCTGATTGATTGCTTTGGCCGAGATGAGGTAGAGCGCTGCGACTGTGTTTTCCAAGGTGACGACAGAGAGCAGAAGGGGACAACTGGTGTTAGTGGCGAGCAGAATGAGAGGAAGGGGGAAGATGGGACCCCCTAAGGCTGCCCCGGGGAACCCAGAAGCCTTGTTGTATGACTGTGTGGTGTGTGCAGTAAAGGTCGTGGTTCAGAAAGAAGTTTTGGCAGGGCGGGTGGCAGTCTTGCCTGCATTTGTGGTGGGCTGCCAGGGCCCGAGGCTCCACACCGAAACGACGAGAGCACGAGAAGGGGATGATGGGCAGTTATGGATCCTGCGCTGTGAGTTTGGGAAAATTTGAGTGTGCGCTGTCTCTTTGTCTTTGGCGATCACTGCGGAAAAGAAATTTCAGAGGACTGAAACAGCAATGGAACACAAGGCTAGCGACGTTGATTCGCTACTCTTTTGTTGGAATATTCCGCACAATGGAGTCGTGATTTGTGGATCAACTCCAAGAGGATTCTCTAGAGTGCTTGGCCGGGATGTGGGGCTGCAAATGAATTGGTTCCCTTTTGGTCAACAGAGATTTGCTGAGATTAGTGCATAATTTTCACTTGGGTGAGAGAGAATCTCACGACACTGCTTGCAGAACATGGGGATTGTACACAGTGTGGAATGTCCTCCTACTAGTCAGATTGCAGGTCTGGTGTCGCCGTGTCAGGTGGACCAGCCAAAAGCCCCACTGCTATCATATTTGTGCTATACGCAGCCAGTAGCTACACTGATGGGCAGTTTGTGGGATGATGAGGTGCTGATAAGAACATTGAGGTGGTTCGATCGCCACTGGTGGAGTGGTTAGGCTTCACATCGGTCTCCATCCAGAGGTTTTGCAGCTGGTTCAAAAATGAGGAAACGAGGGGGATCAAATGCTTACCCAGCAGGAGAGTGCCATATTTTGTATTTTCCTTCAGTCTCTAGTCTGGATAGAGGCCGTTTGAGAGGCTTGTCCCATCCACACTCTTTGCAACAAAGGAGCCCCGGAAGCTGTGCTGGAGCTACAGTTGCAATTGTAAGGCCACTGCCACGATGGTGCAATCGGCAACCCACTTCCTGTTTCCGATTGTTTGCATCAAGAACATTTGAGTGAGCACCCCTCAAAAGTCAGTTAGAAGAGTTCCGATTGCATTGGCCTTGCAGGAGTGCTAGTGCCCAGATGGCCAAAGGAGTACAGCATGGGAAACGTATTGGAGGAGCTCAGATTGTGGCATGCGAGTTTGAAATGGGTTACTCAAGGGTGGGGGAAGGGGGAGGTCTAACTGTCCCAATCCTGAATGCGACCAGCGATGAGAGCAGGCCTGTGTCAATTTCTTCCTGGGAATACTGATCTCTGTTCAAAATCAGGTCCAACCACAGCCTGTGCTCTGGAGCACTGGAGTGTGGAGCACAAATTCGACATGATAATGAACGAAAACCATGGGCGATGCATGGATTTGTATAAATACAGATTTTGAAGAAAAACAGCGCTAAATAGGACATGCACCCTGGCTGTATGTGGCAGTGTGATCAGTAGCAAGGCGGGGACTAGGGGAATGTAGCCAGTGTCTTGTTGGATAAAGTGCTGTTCTCAACTGGCTAACTGACTGAAACATGGTCACCTGCTTGTCAGGGAGCTCAACATGCTCACCAACAGCCCGGAGTTCAAGGCGTGGTTAAAGGGGAAACAGAGGTTCAGGTCATCCCCGTTCTATGGCGGCCTTGCTGGGATCGCCTGGTTCATTTTGTACTTGGCGCTGGCAGCAGGTGTTGTGGTGGGTCCCCATTCACAAGCGCTCAACTGTTGCCCCTGATCAGGAGTCAACTGAGCCACATGAAGTTCTATTTTTTGTTGTGCTTTTGTATTGCTTGTAGCGATATGTACGGGGGTGTTTCCTGAACAGAGTCCATGAGAGAACAGGTCCCCCTCGGAGGAATTAAATTGCAATGCAACATTCTGTAGTGCAAAATCCTTGAAGAATGGGAGAATGAATGAATGTATCCTTGAAGGCAACGTTAAAGTAAGGCATGTTGGTCAGGGCATGCCTCTATGGAACTCAAATCGTCAGACAGCATCAGGCTTCTAGCAGCCTACATATATGTATACTGTCCCATTCAAAGTTGATCTCAAATGTTGTGATAAAATTGTACCATGTACTGTGCAGTGTCTAGGTCACAAGTGTCTATGTACTGCATGCATTTGCATTCTTATGCACCAGGCAGCACTTGTCCTACCTTGTCTGCTCGCTGTCGCCTTTGAAAGCTATCAAGCCGTGCAAGTGGATACTCTCCCCTGCCCAAAGTGACCAATTACGGCTGGCATACAGACTGCATTCTGAAAGTCTTGTAGCAACACGACTCCCACTCATGCCATTTACAACCTGCCCAAAGTGACTGCCATTGCGCCCCTGCGTTTTGGCAATACTGGCTCCTGCTCTGCTCACAAAATCCCACTACAAGCGGCAAGGGGGATGAACATTGAGAGTGCGCATCGATGTCTGAGTGCGAAGATTTGCGTTTTCCGGCAGGCCTGCGGCTTCGTGGTAGTGTCTGCTATTGCAGTCAGCAGCGGCAGGTTTGGCCAGTGTCGCTTACTGGACTCCATCGTCTCAGAGGAAGCTGCCGATCGGTGCCGGGTGCACAACGAGGTCTGGTTTCCGGAACAGGTCGCAGAGCTGCGATCGAACCTACTAGAAGCAGTGCAGACTGTGATGAAGGAGAACGAGAAGTTGAAAAGGGTGAGAACTTGCTGCTTGATACAGCAGAGAACTTTGTGCAAAAGTAGAAGTGCAAAGATGTATAAAGTTGTAAGAACGCAAAGTGCATAAAGGTGAATATTGACTCATGTGCAGTATGGAAAAGCCTGTGCTGGAAACCAAGCTTTGGCTTTTCAGAAGAACAGAGGGCATGTGAAGGTGTGTGAACATTTGTGGGCAAGGAGAGTGTATGGGTCGCTTTTGCACATTGTGGAAGGTGATGGAAAAGGTTGTAAGTGTGACAAACGTTGCATGCACTGCAACCTATCAGAAGGCATGGCGCATTGCTACAACAAACGGGGATGACCAGCTCTTTGAAGGGGAGCCCGGTAGATGGCAGATTGTGTTTGGGAGGTGTTGGCACAATTCATCAATGAAGAATTGAACTGAACGACAATCAATGTCCTCATTATGTATTAATGTATTGAAGCAGAGTGCTGTGGGCTTGGGCAGGAACTTAAAACAGCCCAAGGCAAAATCAGGCACGTCACTGACTTGTTGGAGTCCAAAACATCTGCCTACCAGTTGGAGCTTGAAGGCAGACTTGACCTTGAGAGGCAGCTAGCAGACGCCCAAGATGAAACAAAGAGGGTTGAATCGGAAAGACAGCATGTGGGCAAGACTTTGGGCCAGTGCAAGAACCTCTTGCAGCAGCAAGAAGATTCTCTGACTGGGTGCCAATCGATGGTGTCGAAATTACAATTGGAGCTGGAGGATGAGAGGGCAAGGTCAGGGTTGGGAGGGCCGGGAGGGCAGCTTGAGGGGATCGTGGGGGAGGGTGCAGACAATGGGTCGGCTTCGAGACAGGAGGCTGGCTGAACTGGGGACTATGGGGCCTGCCAGGCGCCCCAACGCCCTTCTCTTAGGTTTCTGCCACATTTGTTCTGGCATCTTTCCAGAAGCTCCAGGGGAGCGCATGGTCCACATCTGTTTGTCTGCAGGGTGCTGTGCATGTGGCTGCCTTGCCAGATGTCCAGGTGATGTGAGCAACGGTTGGCAGCCCAGGTCTTGGAAACTTTGTGCTTTGGTGTGCTGAACCCACTTGGAACGAAGCCAGCCAGCCTCTGGGCTTCCAGCAGCAATGGACAGGCACATAATTGGGATTGCTGCAAGCATTGGGCTTGAACAAAGACAGCTCCGAGGGCTGGTGGCGATGAGGCAGTTCCAAGAATATCCATGCTTGGTTGCTCAAAGTATCCTACGTGCAGTTTCAGCAGAATGCTGTTCAGCAATGTTAGGAGCAGAGCACAGAGCACTGTCCTCGTGTTCTCAATGGCATGACAGAATGCGAGTTTTTGAGCTGCAAATGAATTTGGGTGAAGCAGCTGCATCGCCAGAACTGCTCTTTGTGGCAAGGTCTGAGGTGCAGGAGTGTTGTTGCCCATGGCCATAATAATGGATGGACGCTTTTTTTTCCCAGCCCTATGTCGTGATCCTGGATGACTAAATGTCTGGGGCTTCGTTGCAGACATGAAAGAAACCATCTTTGCCAAATCGGAGGAAGTTGTAGAACGTGCACTGGACTCTGTAGAATGTGGCATGTCCAGATCCACCATTCAGAATCCACTTGCGCGAGGCCACCCAGGCAGCACTTGCGTGTGGTACGTGCAGCTCAGATATTCAGGTCTAGGGCTGCAGTGCAGTACTCTGGCATAGTAACTTGGATTGTTAGGTAGGCAGTGCACGTCAAGATGCTCTCTGGCTGGAGTTGCTCGGCAAGATGTCACTGCCACAGATGCCTCGCTTCGCCCTTCAGTTGGCTGGCTTGTCATTCACTTGCAACATGTGACAATCTTCTGGTGGGCGTGTTGATAGGTCAGGGCAAGCAGCTGTTGGATGGACGCTGGGCACGGTGGCAGCTGCTGACCTGGTGGAGCGTATCCTTGCCGATTGCCAGGGAATGGTGAGACAGATACTTGATTCTGTGGACTTTTTATTTTCAGGATCCTGTGCACATTTTGGGGGGTCTGAAATAGTACATCCTTGGCCGTCGATTCACATGTCGTCCAATTTTGACATTCTTTGGCTCCTGTTTGTGGGGGCTTGGGGCAAGGGGTTTCGATGCTTGCAAGTTTGACATCTTTGAATATGCAAATGGGATATGTTGCGGAGTGGAAGGCTGTGGGAGAGAACTTCACAGGGGCGTGAAAAAGTGGCACACTGGCTTGGCTCCCATCCAAACTAAACTCGGCCGATCAGGCAACGTCATGAAGTTTTAGGCTTCCGACGACCTTACAGCGCTTGTCAGAAAGACACTCCACCCATGATGTGTGCCACCCAAACAGTGTGTCACAGACATTACCACATGACAAAGAACGGCAAGCATGCCTACTCGCCAATGATGGCTGCCGGTCCTGTAGTCAGGCGCCTGTTCTTGAGATGTTAAGAATGCCGTTGTCGTTTAAGGGATTTAGTAGATGAGCAGAAGCAAGGTTCTTATTGCTACTGTTCGAGTTGCCTTTCAGGCTGGATTACCAGACGGAACATCGGTCGAACATGGCTTTCAAACAGCATAATTCAGGCGCTTTGTCCAGCAAGTGGCACTGTAATGCACGAATTGTGCTTAGGAAATTTCTGGCTGTATAATTGCGATCATGCACAATTGTGAATTTGTGCAGTATGCAAGCAATTAACCATTCAGCAAGTAAACTTGTCAGTTGCGCAACACAGGCACCATTGCAAAAGAATTTGGCAGGTCGCAGTGTGACCTTCACACAACTTAGGTCCGTGTCTGAATAGTGCCAAGTACATAGAATACAGTATAACGTAACTTGAGCATACATAAAGCAATGCATAAATCGTAAATTTGATGGAAATTGTGTCAAATCAAGGGATTATGCTTCAAACTGGAACTATAACCGGTGTGTAATCCATACCAACACTTGCAATCTCAACAATGCTTTTGGATACCAGTGGCAGTTTCATTTTTGAGTGCTCGTTCACTCCACGGTACGATCAAGGCTGTGTAGATCATGCACAGTGTGTGTGCAGTTGATTCGGTATAGCACATCTACATCTTTGAGCTTGTGTACTTACAATTCATACAATTAATTCATTCAATTGGCATCTGGGGCATTATTGCAAGGATGGAACATGCCCAGCCATGCCTCGAAGTGAACAACGAACAACATTTTTGCCATTCTTTCCAGAATGACGTCTTGCCACTTACATTTGATGCAATGTATTGGTTTTTATTCTCACAAGAAATATTATTGAAGAAAATTTGTATACACGCAAGAATACATGCAAGATTACTTGTACTGCAATGCTTCATTTCGTGCATTACCAATGTATTGCAATACTATCGTTTTGAAAGCGACAAGATAGTACAGGTTGCAAGTACTCAACTTTGCAGGCTGGCTGATGCCACTCATTTGCCGTTTTTGGTCGCTGTTGTGACATGTCACGCCAGCAACTAGTTATAACAACGATATATGTTAATTGTATCATTTACATTGTCAGTACTCATTCTAATTAACTTTCGTCCCTCCCAGACAGAAGACCTGCGACGAGTTTTGCAAGACTGCGCCGCTGATCAAGCCGGCTGGGACGGCACAGCAGGCGTTTCTGGAGATGGCGGTCAACAGTCATTGCGGACGGCTGACAGGGGTCAACCATGGGCACCGGAAGGCTCTGGGCGCCGCCCGGCAAAGGTTCGAATCCAAAACAGCTGGACAAATGCCCTGCTGTCAAAGAAAAGCTGAAACAGTGGCTGAATTGTGTGAGCGTGGCCATGTTGGTCTTTACGTTTACGGCACCAATTTGACGCTTATCCTTTTATGCTTAAAAATACAGAAACAAAAAAACGGCCATCAAGCAATGATCAGTTCTCCGCCCCCTCGAGCACCCGCAACACAACGTCCGTCTCGCCCTCAGCAAGGGCAACGATGTCGCCAAACAAAAGATCGTTTTCTGCCCACTCCAGCGCGGCTGGCTGCCACTCCCTGGACTCCCTGAGTCTGTATGTATTGTCTTTATGTACACAGTGACTGTAATTACGAACTTTAACATGTAAAAAAGTACATACCACTTCTATGCGTAAACATGTGTAAACACGCTTTGTTTACACGGTAAAGATCAGAGGCTTGAATGTGGCCAACAACATTGACCTAGACATTGACAAGTTGGCTTTAAGTTAACTTTTCAAATTTCGTAATACCAAATGTGTAGAACTAAATGCACACTTACTGACACGAGACAGCTGCAACTCACATGGCGTTGAACTGTGTGGCTTGCACCACCCGAATGTTGGCAAGCAGACTGCCCCAGTGATCGCTGTTTGCCACGAGGTGATCTTTTGCAGATGCAGTATTGTAGAACCGTGGCACTGTGGAACTGCACAAATGCTGTAAAGTACAGAATAGTACTGCTCTGGGCTGTAGAAGTGCTGCAATGTACCAAGTATTGTGCTGAGGATGGTTAACAGTGTCACAACATCACGTTCTCTGGGAAGGACTGCCCACCGCTACGCGTGCCCCCTTCCTTGTGCCGAGAGAGACTCCACGGATGATTTTGTAAACAACTACAGGTTGTTGTGATGATGTAACACATTGACTGGTCAATTGCTTTACAGTCAACAAGCCGCCAAGGCATTATTATTTTTTTATGAAAGCTGAAAGCAATTAATGCAATGCACTGTGCTTTGGCATTGAGCGCTCAGTGTGTTTTTGGCATTGTAGACACGGAAGTTCTGCAGCATTTGGAACGACTTGGGCCTGGTGGGCGTGGGCTGGATCTGTGCGGCCGTCGTTGTGTGCTTCTACTCGCGCGACGCTACCACGCTACAAATGGAGCTCAACCAGATAAGGAGCCAGATGCAGCAGCCTGGCAGTCGATTCACGTAGTGTGCCTGTTCGTCAATTTGTTGTTCCTTTCGTCCTTTCTTTGTCCCTTTGATCCAGGTAGTTCGTTTGTTTGTTTAGGCGGTCGTTGGGGTACAATCACCTAGCTAGAAGAGGAATTGAGTAGTTTACAGGTGGGTAGTCGCTAGGGAGGCGCTTGAGGACGCTGCAGTGGGTGGGGTGGAGAGCTGGGCGTTTGGCATCGGTTGCCCTGCCCAAGGCGCCGTCCAGCAGAAGGGAGTGGGCCCAATGAACCAATTAGAATAGGAAGTCATAGATTTTGACCGCGGTGGGTGGACGCCGAAACCCTGCCGAGGTTCTAACGAAAGTGGCGTTGGACTGATGTGAGAAGAGGACAGTGGGGGAGTTTGACAACGTTTTTAGTGCGATTCCACACATCTTGTGGACAAGTCGAATTGTCATGCGAATTCTTTCCAACTGATTGATTCCATCTGTTCGCATTTCAAACAGTTTACCCAAGGTTGCTAATAGCAATCTGCTCCACAGCATCCACTGCATATGAAATCCACACTGAGCGTCGCCCACAGATCGACGTTGCCCACACACTGCACAGTTTCCTTTTGACAACTTGCCAGTTGATGTGCCCACTGTTCAAGCATTCCATCAACAGCGAATCAGGCAATGAAAAGTTGAAGTACTAGGGACATGGGATCCTGGTGGTTGACACTGCCAGCTGGTCAAAAGTAGCAATCATACAATTTCATCCATTCATGGCTGGATTGTTGACGTGGGGTCAGTCGCACTGAGGTGAACACATCCAAGAAACCCCAGCTGGCTGTGCCCCAGCCCACCTGGATCGCCACATGCCCTCCATGAAACACGTCATGGTCGTCGCCTCATTCCAGCAACGTTGTCACACCAGTCATGCACCCCCATTATCCCCCCAACCCCCACCTTTCCCTCTCCAAGCACACCAGGTTGTGCTTCGTCCATTTCTCTGTCTTCCGGCAAGCACAATCTACACAAACTTCAAGGACACTTCAAGGACATTTGACAATGGTCATATACCTAATATCTCAAATGCAGTACACTCGCAACGTTCACGCATTCTCCCTGTTTTCGAAATTGAGCATTCACTAGGATGTGAGCACCTTTGGGAGCTTTGCACTGCCTTGCACGGCATTGTACAGTGGGGGTACCTATACAGTGCCCCATCAATAGAACCTGGGCCCCAATAGCGCCCTGTGTTTTGGCTTGGCACCATTTTTGTAGTACGTTACGCAGTCCTGCTGTGCCATGGGACCTCACAACAGCATGTTGTGCACTCAAACGCACCCAGAAGAGATGTTTGGCAGGCCTCCAATGTTCGTTGGTCGTGCGCAGTGTCAGCGAAATAGATATAAATGTTGTGTGAGCTGTTTCTGGTCACAATCATACCACCGGTGGTCCCACGCAACCATTCCTGTCATACAATGTGCAGTGACATGGCGAGTTTGTAGCACGCTGCGAGAATCATTGTGTGGTTTGAGGTATTGAGACATTCTGTCAAACAATGCCTAGCGCTAAATTGGGAACCCGGCAGTGACATAATCAAGACTACGATCGTATTTTTTGGCAAGTTCTTTGCAATGTGCAAGGAATTGAGTGCATCACTCCAGTGCAAACCTCTAACACAGTGCTCCAATATTGTGCCATTGTGGCACAAGCTGTGCCAGTTTGATGGGTTAATTTGGCATTTAAGGAGCCTGTATCACGGGCAATTAGTCATCTCTTGCGTAAAAACTGATGTGGAGTCTTATTTAATGGGATAAATTACGATTAAATGCATTAAAGTTCGACAATTTTCATGTCCCGCCTGCCAATAGCGCCATGTTCTTTGCCATGGCACGGGTGGGCGCTATATAGGTACCCCCACTGTACTTTCTTGCTGGGTGCCACACAGCCCTCATTCTTTTGCCAGGACTTGGACGGAACCTGGACACTGAAGTGAATTCAACGTTATGAAACAGAGAAAAGGGTAAATAAGCCATTCAACCGTTCAAGGCCAATCACACAGTTCCGGAGCCACAATGAATTAGAGTTGCATCCATGACGTCCTCACGATATGCTCGCATTCACCAAAGTGGCCGCTGTCACAGCCCCGGCAGACGTGCTCATCGGCGCGCCATTGAACGTCGCCACCCGCTCCCCATTCGTGCCCAGCTTGGGCTGCAGCTTCTCCCAGATCTTCTTCTTCTGCAGCCTGTTGGGCGGCTCGGGGGGCGCCTGGCCCTCGGGGTCCGGCTCACCGAACCACACCCGCTCGCCCACTGCCGCACCCTCCGGGGGGTCCAGCGGCTCCACCACCTCGTGGGAGGCGTCTGAGGCTGCCAGCAGCATGCCGTGGGACTTGACCCCCCGCATGTTCCTGGGTTTCTGGGTAAAGAACCAGCAATTTTGTGACCACAAGTGCCTGGCTTCTGGACAAAGGTCCAGCAAATTGTGGCTGAAAACGCCTGGCTTCTGGACAATGCACTTTCATTGGGTGACTGCAAGCTGCTGGTTTTTGGACAATAATGATGGTATCTACAACAAGACATGTAGAAAATGGGAATGCAGTAGGATCGCCAACAAAACATGACCGATCTGGACCAAGCATTGGTGTCAACTGATCGGCTGGCTGTTTGGAAATTTGAATTGGGAAGTTTTGCATGGAAACAGGGTGACAGAATGCGGCAGGATCGATGTGGGCTAAGGTGGTGCGGCATTTGCTGCACTGACAACCTCCCGGGCAGTCTGTGCAAATTAGTAGACTGTAGTAGAACAAGTAATTGGCACTGCTAACTTTACTGCTAACCTAGCAGTACAACAATAGGAAGAGCAGTACGTGGTGGTAAATGCCAAGTGCTGCGTACTGGCATGCTGGGCATTGTACTCATCGTGTCACATAAACGTTTTCGGCAAAATACAGTAAACTTCAAATGCACATCAGAATTGCGTTTGTCAGCAGACCAACGGCATGCACAGCTTTCCATAGTACGCCAGTCGTGGGGTGTCTGGGAAGGTTGAGTCATTTGCTTGATCGTGTTGCCATGGCAAGCCATGTGCCTCTTTGCTGTAATGCGGGTCGGCCAGAGGGTTGAGATTGAATTTCAGAAACTTGTGAGAAGCAGCTTGTGAGCGCCGTGTCAAGCCACACACAATGGGAAGCCACGATCGTGTGAAACTGCAGAAATGCAGGTTGGACATTGCTGTGCCCTTTGCTGCCTTGGGTCCCAAGGCCACTGTTTATTGTGCCTCCATGACAAATTGAATCATGGAACTCCGCCAGGCTGGCAATTCTGTGCCCATGTGGTAAGAGGTTGGATGTTGTGCATTTTGCTCCCATGGAACAGAGATAGAACACTTCCTGCAGTTGATACTCCTTGAATTCTGCAAGTAGTAAGAAACACTAAATTAAAAAAATTGATATTGTATAGACTGTCAGAAAAGCAACAAAACATGGATGGGCTGGGAGGGGCGGTGGTTGGGGATACAGAATGCTTAAAGTCTTGGAATTTGATTTCTGGTGCTTTCCATCCAGCAGCCAGTCGTTTCTGCAGCCTTTGGTCGCCTTGCTCTCTGTTGGCCATCAGTAACAGTACTCTTGTATGAGGGCAGTGCGGAAAATGTTATGCACAACTGTGATGTACTCAGCAAATGCGATGGGTCAATTTTGAGCCAAAACCAGCAGCACACAAGCGCACGATTTGACGCTTGTGTTGCTCGCATTTGGGAGGATTGAGAAAAAATTTGGTATGCACTTCAGATTCACCCACACATCTACCACAACCTCCAATATGGTGTACTCGTGTACACAGCGAGGTCGAATTTTTCCTAACTCCCAATTGGCTACCATCCTTCCCTCCCTTCCGCCTACCAAGTTGCACAGGACCGTGACCCGCCGGTCCTTCAGTTCCTCAATGGGCACGTAGTTCACCAGCCCACTCACGATCGTCCGGGGTGCCTCCTCCCCCACGTCGATGCTCTCCACATACAGGTTGTCCGCGTCCGGGTGCACCTCCACGGCCACTATCCTCCCCACGCGCACGTCCAGCGCTGCCACCGGTGGCAGCGGAGGCGCCTGCCCCCCGGCCTCCTCTCCTCCGACATCCGCGCGGCCGCCGCCCTGGCCTCCTCCTGGGGCGTCGGCCTCCTGGGAGGTTGCGGAAGAGGCGAGGCAGGCCGGGCGCGGGATCCGGCGGGCGCGGTCGGCCGATCGGATGGGCGGGATGCGGGGGAGGGGGGGAAGCGGGGAGGCGAGGGGGGCCCGGCGTAGGGCGCCGCGGAGGGCCGCCCGGATGGCGGCCATGGCGGGGCGGGGAAAGGGGAGGGGGGCGTAACTGGAACCTTGCGATCAGGCTTGCTGAGTACAGCTGACGATGGCAGAGGGTCGAGGCGTGGCCAGAATAGAAATAATATGACTGCCTGCACCAAATCGGTGACTGCTTGCACCAAGTCACGTGCACACTTTGTCCTAACCTCAATTTTAGGGTTATGTCTAGTTTCAGGGTGAGTTTAGGGTTAGGGTTAGGGTTAGGACAGGTTTGGGTTTAGGTTTTAGGTTAGGTTAGTTTGGACGGAGTTGGACATGATGTGCACGTGACTTGCTGCAAGCAGTCACCGATTTGGTGCAGCCAGTAATTTTATGCCGGCCAGAATATATTACTGTAGTCCGTCCGTCCTTTCCGTGTGGATCCCTTCTTCTTCCGCTGACAAGGCCAACACTGGTCAGTGGGTCAGTGGTTTAGGGTTTAGGGTGACCGGAAACAAGATGGGATCCACACAAAAAGACAGAGAGACTGATCTCATGACGGGGTGGCGACCCCTGACTGGGCCCCGCAGGCTCGAGTACGCTGTAACGGTTTGCAGCGGAGCAACGGACAGCAAGAATTCTGTCCCTCCAGCTGCTAATAATAGTCGATCAATTTTATTTACAACATATGACTGCTAGCTTACAATGCTGTTCGGGTCGCCAATTATGGGGCTCATCAGAAAAAAAAATAGTGTCTTAATGATACTGCTCAGTGGGCGACACGTAAGGTCCAGAAGTGGGGAGAGCGAGTGTCGACAACCTCAGCACCTTCACTAATATGACCATCACTCAACAGGTTGGTGCATAGTAAGGCGGGGCGAACCCAACATCATCAAGCAGAGGTGCATACATTCGGTAACTTAGTGTTGTGAGGGTCGATCTGAATTTGGGTTTGAAAGCATCAGTCAGCTGCAAGTCAATTCTGCAGCATGACTGTGTCATTCCCATTTCATTTAGAAGTTTTCAAAAGGCGTTTGTTAAGAAAGTGCGTCAATAGACGTTGTTTTGGCCACGATTTGGCCGACCAGTGTATTTTAAGAACGGGAACCCTTTTCTGCCTTACCTGTCTCCTGAGCCCATCCGGTCTTGTACTCCCCCACGACAAAATACTTACAACATCACAGCCACCAACGTATTGTACCCGAGGTTCCCATCCGTAAGTTTGCCCTTCGCTTTGCTAGTACTTATTGCCACTCAGAGAGCGACTCACCCAATGAGTCAGCACCCTAATCCCGTACTTCACTCCCTTCACTCCCTCTCCATCCCACAAATAAACCGGACACCACTTTCTAGGGCGGGAGGGCCGGGTGCGAAACAAGCTAAGGAGGGGGACCGAGGTGGGAGCCTAAATACCCGCCCCCGCTCTGCCCCGCCAAAGCTCGCCAAACCCGAAGGCGTCAAGGTTGGCGGCACCTCGTATTTTCGTCCTTTGACTGACCCACAGTACTATGATGGCCGAAAATCCCTAGGAACGGCGGCTGAGTGAGCCATAGGTTCAAACTGCGCATTTGAATCACCCGGCGCAGCCCACCCGTCGTCTCCCTTGGCAGAAACCCAACAACAGGATAGCTAATTTCATTTATGATGGAGGGGGCCTGCCCCCGTCGCGGTCTGCCCGCGGAGCACGATGAGTCGGAGCCAAGGGGGCCGTGTAGAGGCGCCACGTGGCTGTGTGATGGGAATGTGACCCGCGGGGCATTCTGTGGCTGCTGACCGTGGGAAGTGGTGTGTACCGGACCGAATTGCTGCGATACGATGGAGTGATAGAAAGATTCCAGGGAACCAAAACTTTCCTTCACAGAAAGGGGGTATAGTGGTCGGACGCCTTGGACGGATATAAGTATGGAGGGTGCGAAGAGCGCCAAAGGGGACGATGCATTGTTGACTTCAGCATGGCAGCTGTAGCAACGACTGCGCGTGGTTTCTCTGTGCCGCGCACGGCGGTCTAGGCACGCGGCCTGGCTGCCTGAGCCCCCTGGCTGTGGGCGCCACGTGCGCCATGGCCTGAGCGCAATGGCGCTCGACCTTTTCGAGGGCCGCGGCCACTCTGGGCCGTTTTTGAGCCGTTTTCTTGCCGTTCATGACCAACACTTCGAGTGCGGTCTTCCTGCCTGCCAAAATCGGTCAACCGTCGTCACCGCACAGCCGTTGCAAGGCGGAAGGAGGCCCTGCTGCGTCATGCGCCTCCGCATTGCAGACGGGGCCGAACTGGCCCGTGGACCTAACCGATGTTTTTGACTTCATCGACCTTTGAGGAGCTGTTGCGATTGATTGCTAAGCTCTGGGCGGAAGTTTCAAACCTTTCTGCAAGGACATCTGCGTGCGTTGGCCGGCGGTTTGTCCTCTGCTGCCCGTTTGAGACATCTTTCTGCTGCCATTGCCAATTTTAAGGCGATCGTCATTGTGGCAAGCGGCGTTTCGCGAGGAGCCAGTCCGCGCAGGGGTAACCATTTTGATCGTTCGATGCACTCTCAAAAGAGCGCAGAGCTGAGGCCGTCGACGTGGATCAGCTGGTCATGAGTGTGGGAGAGGGTTATGCGTGGTTCCCTTGGCGACCAACGATATCTAGCATGGTTGTTGCGCCATCAACGAGGGTTGGATGTTGCGACCATGGATCTGTGGCCATCTACGGTTGCCGTGTACTAGCAGAGGGTCCCCATGCATTAGCAGGCGAAGCCCTTACAACATTTCATCTTCCGCCGCGGCGCACATCCGGAGACTCTGCCGGCTGTCATGGCTGGTGGAGTCCAACAATGCAGAAGCCCCAAGTGGGGTGGTCGCCTGTGTGCATCTTGCATCACATTGCACCCTGCACCCCCGCCAGAAACAACGTAGCAATGTTGCTCCTGACGGTTGCTCGCACGATTTGATGCAATGTGGTTGTGAACAGGGATTGCCGAGAAGGGGCGCTGCATTCGGAAGGGCTCCCGAATGTGGTGTCCGTTTTCGACAGGTTGTGGGGGCCGCCCTCAACGGTGTGAACGAACGCTGACAGACAAAATCACGCGTTGGGAGTAACCTCGACATCGCCTATTAAGGTGATAGTGCTGTGTTTGTCACGTTTGCTTGACAAATGTATTCCAGGATTTGAGTCCTCAATGGTTAGTTTGCGGGTAAGTAGCTGCTGTCGAATGACGTGCCCGTAAGGACGACATCCAAACCCCCGAACACACGGAATTCTGAACTTAGGGTGGAAGCTGGTGTCTGCGCGCTGAGGATGTGTCTGCGCTGTGGGGGTCACTGCACAGTTGGATGCTCTAATTGCGTTGGATGCTCTAATTACATAAATGATCCACCCAGCAAAAACGGTGGTCATTATGTGGCGTCACGAACAGTTGGTTTATTTTGCTGAAGTTGTGCCCTGGCACTGTGAGCCACATTGAAAAATTGCCCCAATCGTGTGAGCCGTACGGCCGCTTCTGCAGCCGAGCGGCCTGCACGACTTGGTGCCTGAAGCAAATCGGCACGATGCAAGCAACGTGCGTGTTCTGGCGCCATTTCCTGCAGCGCGCACTGGCATTGTCAGAGTGGCATGAGTTCTGTGATGCCATCCGTGCTGAAGATCGTACGGAGTCTTCGAGCTCGAAAGGAATGCGCCTCCGTCATTTGTCGCATATTGTGCAGTGTTCCAATTTGGCAATGAACAACACTATATCGCCCGGAAAACTTATCAGCTGAGAGCAGGATGGGAAAGAGGCGAAGTGGCATGGGCGCATGCACAGCGGCTACATTCGCATTAAGGTGGGCCACTCTAAAGGCGGCAATGGATTGCTCCATGGCTATCATCAATAATGGCCTCGCGCCACCAGCGCGGCCGCCCAGTGAGCTCCAAGGGGGGCCTTGTTTCCAAAAAAGGAAAAAGAAAAGCGAAGCGGCCTCAAGACGGTAGGAGAAGTCGCTCCCACGGATCTGCACCCCCCACTCCATTAAATTACAGCGAGTCGCTCTTAACATTGCGTATGGATGAGAGCAGGGGCCTCTCTGTACCTGGATACACACCGTCGCCTCAGATCCGCCCAACAAACCGCCCAGCCAATCAATGTACACACAGACACGCCCTCGCACGACGAACCCTATGTAAAGAATGCGCCAATCAATGTCTCGTTACGAATGCTATTCTTATTGGGGAGTGGCGGGGCGCTGTCTCAGTGGGGCGACCCATTCACAATCCTACCAGCCAACGGCAGCCAAACGGGAGGAGAATCCAACCGCGTTGGATTCCCAGGGGGCCAGACGCGCACACGCACACAAGCCGAAGTTCTGACTTTCCCTAAAAACTCCTTCTCAATATGACGTGGTCCCACATAGTATAACAAAGCACCAAGGGCTGTGCCACTCTTTCCTTGAAGTGGGGCCAGAAACTCGCACGCCCGAGCGCCTCTAGTTGTACAAATAGCTGTCTGGTCAAACTGCGTAGGTAGGTTCAAGTGTTCCGCCGCGCACGAGGGCGTGGATTCCCGGAAGCCGTTGAGTTATGCGTACCGGCCCGCGACGGGGCCACGCTGCACGAAGAATGGGGAAAAAATCCGATCCAACAAATCGAAGTCTTGGGGAAAAAACGGCCAGGCGGCCCAGAAGTGGCCCCGTGACTGCTGCGGGCTCTTCATGGACGATCGCCGACGGGCGGCCGGGTCGGCGGCCTGCTGCTGCCTGCATGGAGGAAGGACACGAAGGCATCGTTAGTCCAGAATTGGGAATACTCGCAAAACTCGGCCACTGCACACCACACCATTTCGTTCTGTATTCAATAGTGCGAAAAAACTGAATATCTTATTAGTACTGTAAACCTCACCGACAATGGTGCAATCCTAGGTTACAAAAATTTTTTGAGTCAATCTCGATTAATCTTTATCCAATGGGCCGTCCACTGCATCAAAACTGGCATGGTGCAAGACGGTCTCAACATTTGGCACCCTCGCTTCAAGTGCAGCCCTAAGCTAAATGCTCCCGCTCTTGGATATTCTGAAGCGATGCAACTACATTGGCAACCACGGCCTCAGAAGTGCGCTGCTGACCAATACCAACAAGCCATCATTGCTGGATGGGCATCCGCCAATTGACTCTCAACAAGAGTCAAGAAGCAGCAGCAAGGGCAGACTACCAGCTGCCGCCCAACTGACAACTCCGAGCTCCCAGCAGCTCAGAACAGTGCATGTCCAAGCCCAGGCATTGCACGGGGGCAGCTTTGCAACCGAGACATACTACTTATACACTTTTCTGTGGATGCTGTAATCAACTTCGCAATTTGGGATTGGGTCCAGGGCACTAGCGATTCAAACACAACAGCATTCAGCAGCACAATAGGGCGAGCACGTTGAAAGCCATTTGCCGCCTCTTTCCCTCTTTTGTTCCAGCACGTCACATCACATTCATCCAAGCGTCCAGAACACCCCGAAGCATGCAAGCCCCTCCTCCCGCAAGCCAGCTGGCCCCGCCCACCTGAGCTGGGCCTCATGGTCTGCGGCTGCATCCTCTGCATCTCCTGCCTAAACTTCGAGTCCGCACTCATCACCGACCGCGGGTGCACCTGCTCCACATCCGGGCTCAGCCCCCGCGCCACGAACCTGCTGCCACCCCCACCTGCCCCCCGCCCCTCCTGCTCCTCCCCAGCCACCTTCACGCTATCCCACGCGGAGGGCGCCTGGGGCTCATCCCCGTCCCCCTCTGCGATGTTGGCCAGCCCGCTGCGGCCCAGGCTTGGCTTCGCCTCGGCAATCCCTGGCAGGCCTTGCAGGGCGCCTCCCGCCTTGCCCGTCTGGGATCCGTATGATGGCCGTCCAAACGCCGCAGGGGAGCCCTTCCCCGATCCCGGCGTCCCGCTGCTGGCCCTGCCGATGCTGTTGGCCGTCAGGGCCGACGGCCGCATCGACAGGTTTGCTAGGGAGGTGCGGCGGACACCCGAGGCGCTTGCGCGGGGCCCCAGGGAGGGGGTGGACGATTTCATGCCCAGGTGGCTGGGCCGGGCGTTCTCGGGCAGCTTGAGGATCTTGACGTCCGAGGTGCAGAGGTGGACAGCGATGGAGGGGGAGAGGGGCGCGGGGGAGGGCGTGGGGCAGCGGCGGGAGCCGTCGTTGTTGAGCTCGACCAGCTCGCCGTGGGCCAGGTACCAGGTGCCCTCCACCTTGAGGCGCTCGCCCTGGCTGCGCATCAGGAGATCGGAGCGCCTGGGGCACGGACAAGGGAAGGGTGAGTTGGGGAGAGGGAGAACGGGCCTCAAGGAGGGAAGTGGCCGGGACCTCAAGGAACACGACGACCCAGGCCTAAAGGGGGTTTGAAACGAGGACTTCCAGGGCCAGAGATATACGCCAAGGTCAGAAAATTAGATGTGTGCTGCAAAGATTTTGCACCGGCGACGTTGTCAGACAGGGCAAAGGCATGGAAGTGAACCTGCGCAACTTTGCGCAACACGCAGAGTTTGGCACGGCTTCCACGCTTTGCTTTATCCAGGTGCCAAGATTTGCACAGCAGAACGAACCATGGAAACAATACTACTGTCTGGCAAACGCTGATCTGCCTTCGCCACGTGGCAGTACTGTTTTCACTGCCACTGAGAGAGAATGCGCAGGAGCCCACTCACCAGAACACGGACTGCAGTTCTCCAAGGCTAGCCCCCTTAAAGGGACCCCAGGGGTGCTGCAGCGTCTGGAAGGCGCCCGCCATCTGCCAGGACCTGCGCCGCACAGTCTCGTGCCTCTGCACGATGGTGTGGAACTCCTGGGCGTCGATGTGGTACACCTGGACGACGGTCTCGGCGGTGAGGCTGCGGGACCTGCGTTGCTTCAGCATAACCTCGCTGATGCCCACCATTGCACCTTTGGCGGCAGCAGCACACACACACACACTCAGCTTGCCATCTCACTCCTGTCGACAGTGGAACCTGTAGTGCTGAAGAGCAGAACAGGGCCCACCACTAGCTTCATTAGGAGGGGTGATCCAATGCATGATGCGTTTCAGCTTTCAATAAACATCTTGACAGACATACTCCACTTCACAAGGCCGCAACAGAGAAGAGGGTAATCACAAGCAGGTGTCGTTGCTCATGTCCGCTCATGCCCCATTGGTTGAGACACGGAATCCACACATTCTTGTCCTGCACGCTGCGAGGTAGAAGCCGTAACTTCTCAGACTGAAATGCACCTCTTTGAAACTACATATCTTGAAACATCTATTTCATATATATATATTCGATGCAGCTCTCCTGTTGCGCATTTACCATAGTTGCAGTACGTTATACAGCTGTGGCATGTCATGGAGACACATCACAGCTTGCAATTATTGCAACCTGAACAGCAGCGACAACAACATATGCAGAGGCACTGCACAAGGGCGCCACCCATCGGCCCGGTCCTCACCAGTGCCCTCTTGGTAGGTTCCCCTCTCAACACCTGGCGATTCCACCCTTGCTATGCCACGGACGATCAGAGTCAAGTTGCGGGCCTCCTGCCCAAGCTCGAATATCGTCTGTTTACAGCACAGAGAACACCCCCATGAGGTAAGTTGTTGCACAAAAGCGCAGATATTCACTATCAGGGACAGTGCCAATTCCATTTATTACTTTGCTATGATACTCCAGTGAGTTTGCAACTCTCCTGACACCCTGTTATTTCAGCTAAACATAGGGGCTGGTGCTATTGTAGTGGATGTGCTGGCTCACAACACTGCAAGCCACTCTTCAGGCTTTTGTGCGGCAGCCCCTGCAGCATTCCTGTTATCTAAACAAGGTGCAACACGCTGCTGAATCAACAATTGCTGCGGAAATGGGGAGCAAAATCCTGGAAAAACAGGCGAGCAAAAGGGTTTCTGCCACTCGGGTCTTGCACTCCATACGCCTGGACCCTCACTCATGAGGCGAACTGTATTGGAATCAAGCAAAGCCGATAGGCAGGCGCACACACCTGGTCCTTGTCATAGACCTTGAGCTTGGCGTGTGGCCATACGAGGGTGTCAAAGGCGTGCTGGTCCATCTCATAGAACACGGGGTGGGTCTTCAGCATGACCTTGGGCTCTGCGAGGTCGACCTTGGGCGGGTTGTACATCAGCTTCTTGATCGTGCTCTCAATAAGCAGGGTGAGGGCAGTGGCCTCCTTGGCCTCTATCAGGCCAGACTGACCCAGTTTCTGGACATACTCTGCCTTCATGCGCAGAACCTCCCATGCAGCCAGTTTACTCTTGATGGCACGTGCAATCTCAGGGTAGGCACGGCGTAGGTTCCTGAGGGATCGCAGGAAGGAATTCAATGGGAGGGGATTTCGATCTGCACTGTTAACATGTCATTGTCCACAGCAACTCCTTGGCTACATTTGTGAAGACAAAACAAACATTGCAACATGCAGGCATCAGCACATGCTGAAACTTCCAGTTAACCGTTGCTCAACATCACAGATCATAGTTAATTGCCATCCATTGCACAGCATGGAAAGGGTGGTGGAAAAAACAACGATCTGTGTCCATTGTTCAACAAAAGATTATCTGTCCCAAACACCTTCAGGATGAATGCAGCCAGGGCAACACTGCTGATTGTCACTGTGCGCAGACATATTCATGAACACTGCCAACAGCATGATCGTATGGTAGGTCAGCACAAACCCATGAATTGTGCGGATACCGGACGAAATGGTCCTCGATCTGTGCAACGATGCCCACATCGAAACGCTGCAATGAATAGAACCACGCCACTGCTGGAGAATGAAGGGGATATTGATTGCTCAAATTGAAACAGGAGCTCAGCCAGAGAAATGCACATGATGCAAAGCAGAAGCAAACACAAGCGAATTCACAAGCAGACAGGCATTCTTCTGGCGAAACAGGCTTGCAGAGGCCTCTCACTCACTTGACAAACTCAACTGCCTGCTCGCTCTCCTGCCTGCTTTCCTCAAGGACCATTGCTGAAGCCTCTTCTACAAGCCGTGTGGCATCATCCATTACCCCATTCTCTGACTGCTCTTGTTTAATGAACTGCAATAAGAGGTGCCAATGACACATGATCAGCTATCAAGTGGGGTGCTGCGTCCTTCGGTGGCACCAAAGCACAGTGCACATGCACCAGACGGTTGATCATGGACAGAGATTAGAATGAATAGAGCTGCAGTCACACACTTGCAGAGATATTGGCAGAGGTGTTGGTATTGACGTATTGGCAGCATGCAATTAGCTGATACAAGCAGGCGAAGCATGGCGTTGGATTCTGACTACATTTGCCTTGGCTGCACTAGCTTGTTTTGCCCAAATTGCATAACAGCCATGACTGCATAACATGTGCATAACATGCAATGAAATGTTTTTCTGGTAATCAGCCTCTTGTAATATTCCAGAAAAGCATATTATTCTGAAAGCTTTCTCGTCGCACAAATCCATAAACACAATTGCTTGCTTCTCCTTTATGTGCATCTTCGCATTCTGTCCATTGAAATGAACAACAAACAGTGAAAAGCCAACAACAAATCACTTTCGACCCAGGATTGAAGAACGCATCAATAGCTCATGCAACCGCACCTGTATGTACTCGTGCAGGTGGTGTGTGGCCTCCTCATGAGCATGGATGAAGTTCCTGGCAATAATCGCCGAGGTTTCAAGGGAAGTGAACAGCCAGCGCTGCAGGGTCTTCTCAAAGCCCCTCAGGAACTTGTTAATCAGCTTGCGCCACCCCGAGGCTGACAGGGAGTTCTCCAGGTGGTACCAATCACATAGGGGGGTGCTGACTGAGTCCAGACCCTGTGGACGGAAGCGCAAGGCGGGTCACATTCCCTCTTCAGCAAGGCTTGAATAGAAATGCATGCAAAAAGCCGACCTGCTAAGTACTGCTTCGAAGTACAAGCACCACGTCGAACTGCGAAGTACAGCATCGAAATACTGCAGAACAGAGTCTATGAAAAAGGATGGTTCTTGCACTGTTCTATAATCTAACCACGCACTGCAGTGTTGCACTGCTACTAATTCCTCGATTCGCACTCGTTTCACCAATATCTGCAGTCGTGCAGACACTGATTGCTGGACTGACGTCTTCATGCCAAGTGTTGAATTGACGACACAAGCACATAGTTTAAAATGCACAGGCTAAAAGGAGCCTGTGTCCAAAGCAGAGGTGCCTTTCCCCCCTCTCTTCTTTCTCGAAGCTGCACTTGTTCAGGTTAGAGAAACTGCATGGCATTGAAAGTGACAAAAGGGCAGGAAGCGGTGTTTATCCATCAAATGCAACCATTAGCAGTCACACTGTCAGTTGACATATAGAATTTTGGCATCTGATGGCGTGTTGATGTTATACTGGTGTTGCGTGGACCTCAGCCGACACTAAGTTTTGATACTGAATGCAGTCGCACAGCCCCGGAAACAGTACAAATCGGCACGTGGCATTGATCTTCATCAACCACAGCATCAAATAGCAACAATATGATGTGACCGACGTGAAGGTGTACAATAACCTGAGGAACAACATTAAGAACGTATCAGCAACATGTGTAGAGAGCTGACAGCATCACAACAAACCAACCCACCTCATCTGCACTCTCCTTCAGGTACGAGAACTGCTCAGCATTGATCTCCCCTTCCTCACTCAGCTCGCCATACACTGACTTGATGCCAGTCAGCAGCCGCGTGCGGAAGTCCACCACCAGCATGTCTTTAGTGACGACTGATGACATGCCCGCGATCTCGGAAGCGATCATCAGCTGGTCGGGCCCCTTGGCTTTCATGGACGCACCACCCATCGCCTTTCGAGCCACAGAAATCTGGCCAAGCCGAGGCGTGGCGCCATAGGCCAGGCTGTTCTTGACCAGGTGCTGCTCAAGCTCCATAGCCACAGGATTGTTATGAAGCTTGGCATCTGCAGGAGGCCAATGCGCCGTTTAACTCAATTGCAACTACATGGGAAATATTGTTCATTTTCTGGTGCATTTTACAGCCTTTAATTTGCATGCATTCTTGAATTAGTTCAAGCCATCTGCTATGTGTATTGTTCACTAGCAACTCACCCTATTTTCCAAGGGACTTCCTTTCTTTGCTTCTTCTATTTTGATGCAAAGTGTGATGATCAACACCCGCCTGTGAACAAATTTCCATCGAGGGCAAAGAAGCCATGTGAAGAAACCTGCTTAAAATTCTTAAAAAACACAGGTCAAAACCTACAAAAACTGGCAGTACACAAAAATAGCAATAGGAACAGGAAAGGCCACATCTGCTTGATTCTCAGACTGCTGGCCGTCATATTGGTTCTTCATACGAAAGTGCCCAAAGCCTCACATCGCCAGCTGTCATATCAACATTTCAAACTGGGGACATTGGACAGTAGAAGGTGCTTACCCTTCATAACGCTGATGATCTCTCTGTCTGACGGTATAATCGAGTCCACATTCAGAGATGTCAGCCGCACAACCAGGTTCCAATCTGGGTCGCCCAGCAGGTGATCAGGTTCGGCCTCACTCAGTTCACTTGCGCCGATGTTCTCAATGCTCTGCAAATTTCAGTCAAGTTCCGCTTGAGGGTACATCAAAGGGGAGCAAATCGCCATTTCAGACAATGCAGGTGGACAATATAAGTCCATTTGGAATTAAGTATTAAGCAGTCTGACCAACGACTTAGTTGCCCAAAAGGTGTTGTGAAAGAGCATACAAAGAGCGGTGCCCCAATGAGGCCAAGCTTGCACGACTTGATCAATTATCAAACGAATGCTGAATTTCTATTTATTCAATATCAACTAGACGTCATCTCATATTGTGATATGGCAATGAACAAAGAACAGAGCAACAGGGAGACACAAATGGCACTGAAAAACCACACTTCTGCCTATGCATAATACGGCGCCCACCTTAACGACATGCAACAGCACCTCCAGCTTCTCTGGCTTGGTCTTAGTCACACCCAGATAGTCCAGAAACCTGCCCATGGAGGTCCCATTGATCAGAAGTGTGTAGGCTGCGATGAGGCCCATGTAGAAAATGGTCAGCGCCCTGAACTTCGGGTCGATGCGCTCCTCATCCAAGTCCACGATCAGTGCCAGGGCAAGGCCCACGGCACCCCGTAGGCCACCCCAGGTCATGACCAGGACGTCCTTCCAGTCGACGGCATATCCACTGAGCATCATGAAGGGGTACATCATGAGGATGGTTACCAGCCGGATGATCTGTGGAAGGCGAGAAGGGACCCAGTGTCAGGTATCTTTCTTTCAAAGTGCCATGTTGTTGGATCGCGTTGCCGATGTTCTGATGTGCATTGCAAGGTTCATCGAATAGCGTGATACGGCCTGCCTCTAGAAGAGCGTGCATAGGGTGACAGAGGCCCAGAAGTCGAAAAAGAAAATGGAGAGGACACACACGGCCATGCGCAAGCAAAGCAACGAGAAGGGAACTGAAAGCATGTGGACCTGCACAAGTGGCCAGCACCAGCTGATATTAAACAGCCAGGCTCCTGCCTTCTGTTGGCTGCATCTGTCAAAAACACATGCCAAGCAAAGACTTCGTATTCAAGCTTTGCAACTGACAGCATGTGGAAGCTGTCATCATGGAAGACCACAAGGCGCTGGTTGGATATTGATGCACACAACACTGTGCTTTGGGTGCAAAGGGCACTGTGTGATCTGTGCTAATGGCCTATGCAATCTGTGAAACTATGAGACATATAGCCCTTCCTTGCACCTGCCATGACTGGTGTATTAACTCCAATGCACAATGTGGAATAATAAGCAAATGGCATAAAAAGCAGCAGTTTGATTGGTTATTTGCTGAAGAAATGAGTGCCATGCACTCATAGGAAACATTTGCGTCAGCACGCCATAAAACTGGTGTATGTCCCTGCATCCTCAACCCTAATAGCCATTATATTTGAAAATGGCAACACTCACCTGCAAGAACAAGTACAACAATAATGATAGACCCCAGTCGGCTTTCTCTATGAACTGTGCTTCCTCAGCATCATCATCAACCTGGCAGGGCCAAAGCGGAGAATTATAAACACAAGTTGATTAATGGACAAAGGAAACACAAGCACAAAAAGAGAACAGAGAACCAGAGCCAAAAATGTCGAAGATGAATATTGAGGATGAGTCAAAAAGACAAAATCAGCAGAGCCTGCATCCATCGGCCACTTGAAGATTTCCAAATCTCCAAATTTAAAGAGGCAGTGACTCAAGTGGCCTGTTTGCAGCTTTCATTGCTTTCTCTTGGCCAAACCAGTCCAAACGTGGCAGAGGACTGGTCTGGCACATTCATGGGGATGACGTGCATGTTTCCATCAATTTAAACATGATGCAGTGGCGAGCTTTCTGAAATTTGCTTTAAGCTAAGTTCCCACCCCATCTGTTGAAAGAAATTGGGATTGAAAACAAGACCAAAGAGTCCTGCGGTCAGGTGCAAACCAATGCCGCGTTGGCAGCAGCGCAGTGCTCATCCCCACACCTCCTGCCACTCAACTTTGTGCAGCAAGTGACTGGGGAAGAAATAGCACATTAGCCTGCCAGCATGCTGCATATCTTCTTGTTCACCACATTCCCATGCCCTTTGTACTCAGTTCACACACACATAAATTCGAAGGTACAGATTGTGACAAGTGTAGTGCATATTCTGCAAGGTCAGCATCGCAACACAGGTCCCTACTCCCAGCTTCACCACTCACATCAACCTCGACTTCATAGATCTTCTTGGCAATCTTGACACCGGCATAGATGAAGATCGTGCTGTTGGCAAAGTACTCCATCAGCTCCCAGAAAACCTCCATAGGTTCGTGGGCCTTAGGGGACAGGCGGGGCCGGGCCATCACAGCCATAGTCACCCCCAATGCCACTGTTGCCAGCACGCCGGAAACCTGGCTGGCACAAATGGATTCAGCTGTGAACAAATCTCAACATATTCGATGGAACACGCAGTTGAAGACTCAGCAATGAGGAACCAGACGCAACCCCACATCACCTTCTGGGGGCCTGGGCAGGATGTGCTTTAGTCCACTAATGGAGCTTTAACTTAACACAACTCTACATATTTAGGGAAACATGTAGGTTAGCAGTGAGCTGATATGCAAGCCATAACACCAGCGTGACCACAAGCAAGCAGACTTCGTGTCTGTACTTTGTTGCATTCTTGCTCTGGCTCGCGCTGGCATGAGGCGCAACCAACCAACCAACAACACTCACACACATGCTGTGCACCTCCTCCATTTCCACATTGTATGTGCACAAGCCACACCCACAGAGTCTTCTTTGATATGACTCAGGACACCGATATACATTTGGACTCCTGTGGGTTGCCACAATGTAGCATGGGGGGTCTGCGTGTCAGTTTTGCTTCAAACTTTGGGACATGCTTTATGCCCATCCTGTCCTTGAGCTTCCCCAGGAGTTTCACACCAATGCACTTGGAGACAAGAATCGTATTGACCCAATCCAGGGTGTGGGTTTGGAGCCTATGGACCCCAATTGTAGATCTGGCAGCACAGGACGGAAACTGATCACAGCCTAATGAGGATATTCTACACAACATGAGCAAACACAGCATTGGAAAGTGGTAGTCTTCTTGTCAACACTGCAGGCTCTTGACAATTCGGTGGCTTGGTGTCGGGCACCCGTGTGCAGGTGCCAAAGACACTGAAGACAATGTGCCTGCAGGGTGCAAGGGCCCCACTTTATCTTTCAAGAGCGGATCACAACCAAGGAAGTAAGCTGCCCAAGTGGCAAGACATGCTGCCCAGCAGCCTTGTTGCTCAAAACAGCCACATTTCCATGGTGCACATGGTGCTGCCACGACTCCACACATACCCCGACCAGGTCGTCCGCAGTGTAGTAAGTAAGGTATGCCGTCACCAGCGTGATAGCCACCTCGACCACCAGATCATTGTACACATAGTTGATCCACAAGGAGGCGGCGATCCCAAAGGCCGACCCCAGGAGGGGGGCCCCAATGGCCATCCGCACAAAGAACGCAAAGGTGCCGCCTGCAGTTCGGTGGGGAAAGGTGCACACTGGCGTGAAGGGCTGCTTGAAATCGGGGTCTTCCTCTAATGTGGGTACCCCCTCGCAGTCGGCTCTGTCGTCCTCGTGCAGCAGCTCAAACTCGGGGTGGCGGCATTTGCACAGGTGCTGCAGGCCCTCGCGAATGCGGTCCGCGCCATTGCACTCGCCCGTGTTGCACGAGGTGGTCCAGCGGATAAGATCCTGGAGATAGGATCAAGGAATGCACCCATAATTGCAAGGTGACATTGCCAATTGCTTGTGCCATGTGTGTCTGCTGAACTGTGAAGATCAGCAACTGCAAAACCTGCTGGCAATCTACAAGGACCTCACATTGCTTTGCAACAATGACAGCCCACAGGTTCCAAGGGAAGGCAGTTGGTGTGGATGAAACACCAGTACTGATGATCAAGTGCTTGTGGCACATTCGACTGGTGAGGTGTCAACTGCTGCCATGCCAGCTTGGTGATCCCTGTGACCAATGGCATAGCAGGTGGAAGGGGATCGCCAGCATGATGTGCTCTACTGATAAACGACTTCAGCAACTCGGCATGGCGAAACACAGGCAGCCATTGTGTGAAATGAGCAATCTCTTGCCAGTTCAGACTGAACTCACCCTGAACACAAGGAAGAACACAAAGGCTGTCCCGTCGTTTAGCAGAGACTCTCCCTCTATGACGGTTCCCAGTGTTTCAGATGCCCCCACCTGCATCCAGGGTTCACAACCCTTCAGCAAAGATCACTGAGAAAACACTGGAGCCTGGCAATGGGCTGCGCTGTAGTGAGCATGTCATTCATGACTTGCGCCTTTGCAATTCCTTCCGAGCTATGGAGTATGGGGTCAAGCCAAAAAATGAATCAGGGCTGGTGGAGCCCCCAAGGTGACTCGTGTGTGTTGAGAATGTCCTTGCAAATATGGGCAATATAGGGTAGCAAGAGTCCACAGAACATCTGGCACTGAGCAAAACAAGGAAGAGGAAAGAGATCTTGAAAGATAGACAAAGTACATCCCAGAGAAGCATCCAAACAATATCTGTTGTGTACCTATCCAAGTATGTAATACAACTACGCGAAAGTGCATTTGAACCAACTCCATTTCGGTCGTAGTAGAAGAACGACAGAACTTGAATGGATGTCCACACGCACAGAGCACAAACAACCAGCGCACTTCACCTAAATATTTCGGCATCGGCGGCGCGACGCCAGAGCCTGTTTACGAAGCCATCAACCCACTGAAACGACGCTCCTTCGCAGGCACGCCGAGCCAAACAATCGATGCATAGAGATTCGGCCCCACAATTCTGACGCCAACCATCACTGACCAAACAGCTATGCGTCTGCGCCCGTCTTCCCCCCAAGCCATGCTCGCGCAGCGGTTGACACGGATAGGCGGCGGCCGGTTGGACAGGACAACAGCAACGTGATGCCCCGCAGCAGTGCCGTTTGGTCGCCAACACCAACAACTCAATGCCATCATCCTGTTCCCATGGCTGCCGCCACCCAGAAGTGCGCTCTGCGCTGGCCGTCCCATTTTCCATCCCCTGCTTGCCGACGCGAACAAAAGGCGCGCCCGTGCGTTGGCCCCGACGCCATTCAGCCCACGTCACCGTGACCCGCACATGGGTCGCCCCTTGGTCCTGCGACGGGTCCTTTCAAGCAACGCCCTCTAGTGTCCATGGCTGGCCGTTCGGATCCATCTGTTTTCATTCCGACCCGAGAACTGGGGGCTCCTCTGCACCGCTCCCCGGGGCCGGCCAGCCCTTTTCCTGCCAATCGCGCAGGAAAAGGTTGATGATCGCGGCTCGTTCCGCCCTGAACTGCGCTCTCCAGGGCCCATGGCTGGTTGTTCCCGTCCGGCGCCAGCGTTTGAGCGGGACTTTCAACGTGACCGTACGGGACGCCTTTGCCCGCTCCCCATTGCCGCCACCCAAGTTCTGCTTCCGCAGGCTCTTCTCAACGCGATGCCAATCCAACAAAATCTGAGCAAGGATGGATGCCAAAATTCGGAGCCACTGCCATTGGAAGGCGATGCTAAAAATCTAAAATGGCCCAAAAAATCAACAATGCGATGTACTAGGCCAGCAATTCTATACTCAGAATCCAGGAATAGGAGTTGCACGTTACACGTTACACAAAGCGTTCGTGTGGGAAGTGGTTGCATGCACGACTTCGTTGGGAAGCCAAAAATGGGCCCGCAGTCCACGGTGAGACTAATGCTGCCCAATCCCAGAAAGGAGAAGGAAACTAAACAGAAAAGAAGTCAGGGCTGCGAAATGGGGGTTGGGGGTGGGCGGGTGGGGGGCGAGGTGGGGGCCCTGCTCAACAGGGCAATTCATTGAATACATATAACCCACCTCCTTGAGCAGCGCGACGACCGCCACTGGGTCCGTGGCGCTCAGCATGGCGCCGAACATGAGCGCCTTGGGCCAGCACCAGCCGTATGGAAACACGTACTTCCCCACGGCTCCGGTCATGATGGTGCCGATGCCGACACCGGGCCCGGCGAGGATCAGGATCTGCGAAGAAGACGGGGGTCAGTGACATTCGAATCGCCTCGGTTGGGGCGGGAGATGGTGAATGGACAGATTGACAGGCGTCGCCGTTGGGAAAGAGCAACGGTGGGGCGAGCAATGCCCATTGGCGGCCGGCGCGGTGGACTTGTCGCGCGCGGATTGGGCATTGCCCAGAGCCAAAGGATGGCATTCAGCGAGTCGCACTCGGGCAATAGCCGGGTCGTCTGGTCAATTGGCCCGTGGCCGCCGACCAAATCCGAATTTCGGCGGGGAAGGAGCCGTCATTTGCGGAGTTTGAGGCCGGATGGGGGGGACCATCGCGGGCCGCTGGGGGGGGGGGGTTCCCGGAGGGTCGACAGTCGCAGCGCCGCCGGCGACCCTAGGGGTCGAGATGTCAGAATATGTCACCAGCTGTCAAGATGGGATCCGAGGGCCCTCCCCCAGGGGGGCGGGGGCGGGCCGGGCGGGCCGATCACCTGCCAGAAGTTGCGCTTAAAGATGTGGAAGTCCATCGAGAAGCCGCTGGCGAAGATCAGCGCCGGCAGGTGGACCAGCAGCAGTACCTCCGGGCTGATGTTCTGCGGGCGCACAACGTCACGTCAGGTGGCTCGACGGGATGGGGCCCGCCCCGCGATCCGCGCGCACAGCCCCTGCAGGCGCATCCCGCCAGTCCCGCCAGCGAGACATCCACAAGCAGCCATCGCGGCCTCCCCCGGCGCGCAGGCGCCCACCCGTTCGGTAGATTTGCCCGCGGCGCTTTACCGCTGGTCACCCTCTCGGAGCGGCGCACTACCGCACAGCGCCGCGGGCGCACGGGCAGTCCCTCGGGGAATCACCACAGCCCGATCGACATCCCGCTCACCGTCCAGGCGTCCATCCCCCGCCCCAGGTGCTCGTAGGCCTTGGGCAGCTCATACTCGATCTCCTTCCCCACAACCTCTCCCACGCCCTCCGGCACCTCCACCTCCTCCGGGGCGATCAACCGCGAAGTGTCGTTGGCCGCCGCCTCCGCCTCCCTCTCCAGCCGCCTCTCCTCCTTTTCTCGCGCCCCTGTCTCGGTTATGGAGCCCGCCAGGCCGAGGACGATGCCAGCAACCTGCCCACCACCCACCCAACCCCGAATCTGTCAAGCCTCAACCGGCCAACCCAAATCTGAGCCAATCAAAGCCGCGCTCGGGTGCAAAACGACGGCGGGCATCGGGCGGATGTAGGCGGGGGTGCGCACCAGTAGCAGGCCTGTGTACGGGATGGGGACCTTGGCCAGCACGTGGCGCGTGAACAGGCCGATAAAGAGCATGAAGAAGGTGAACAGCACGACGTCCGACGCGCCGTCCTCCTCCTCGCACTCCAGCCCTATGCCCAGCTCCACGACGTCCATCGCCTCCCCCCCGCTCGCCGCCATCGCTCCCTTCCGCCTGCGACTTGTTTTTTTTCCTTCCCGGCCGTCGCCCTGGCCTGGCGGGTTCCCTGGGTTCTGGGCGCCCCGGTCAGTCCCCCTTGGACCCGTTGCGCGTCTTGTAGTTGCGTCACCGCAACCCGAGACTCATCCAACTGCTGTCCCGGGCCGCTCCGGGATCTCCCCACGTCGGACGACGCACTGCGCCCGACTACTGGGACGGGCACAGGCCCCAGGGGCAGCCTGGGTGCGCGTTTGTTGAGGGCCCGTTATTGGAGTTGATTGAGGTGACGGGTGGGCCCGAGGTGGCGCGTACGGCCCGCGCGCCGCGCTTATTAAGAGGGAGTGGCTTGGTGACGCACTGCGGGGCCTTTCGAAGAAGGTGAGGCGTCGCATCACATGCCCCACAACGGCGCCACTCGCGTGGGCCCCGGGCGCCGGCCCGGGAAAGTGAGCAGACCGGGGAATGTGTGCGCATTACACGCGGCCAGGAGGAGAAAAGGGGTTGGCGAGGTTGTGGCTGAATCGCGGACGGCGCTTTTTGGCGCCCGTCCCCAGCGGTCGGGGCGCGGTGGGGGGTTGCGGCGGGCACCTTACATCCTCCACGGGGCGAATCGGCCGGCGATTGAAGCCGCTTGAGGCCCGGGGTCAAGGGAGCCAGGCCGAACGCGGCGCAGACATCCGCCTCACGGTGTCTGATACTGTCATGCCACGCGGCCTGGGATGCGCCCTGTGTGAACACGTTTGTTTCCAATCCATGCATCCCGGGCCGTCCACGTCAAGGCAGTCTCCTTAAAGGGGCGGCGCTGTTTGGGATCTGCCGCTAACTCCCTTGTCTCCGGCTCTGTCCCGGTTTGATGGCACCCACGGCTCTCCCCTGTGGCGAATTGATAAGCAATCTAACAACGGCAATACCCTTTCCGGGCTTCTGGCAAGTGATCGACGACCAGCCAGGTGTCGCCACACCGCCCAGAGCCTTCTTCCCCTTGGCGCGTTGCAGCCACAAATGCGGGCACGGGCCATGATGTGCGCTGGCGTACCGGGAAAACAGGTGAAATGTGGGCGGTTTCAGTGCAGAGCTAATCTACTAGCCACCCAGCCCGAGGGGGAGATGGTGGGTCGCTTGATTGATCAAGCATTGGACGGCGGGAAGGGCATCGCGTGCGGATGTGGGACGCCTGTCGCCCAAGTTCAACAGTCTGCAACTGGCCTTACTAAGCAGGGTTACTCTGCTTAGTAAGTTCCGTTGCAGAGTGGTCACAAGGCACGGTACAACGTGTACCGCGCCTTGCAACCGGCAGCCGGTGCCGAGAAACATTATCAAGACAATAGTCCCTGCCTGCGATACACTCATAGGATGTAGCAGCCCCAACAACGGGCACGCCCTTGATGTACCCGAGGTACGACTCGGGTTACATTTGCCCTGGCCCGGCATACTTGTAGGCAAAGCACTACCCAAATGCTCTGCAAATTCTGGCTGATCAGGTGGTGGACCAGCAGAACGCGGACAGTGGAAGTTGGTGCGTGTATGGGAACGCGACACTGCGAAAAATCGCATGAATATCTGGAGTTCGTTGAGGGCGAGAAACAGAGCCAGGCGCCTGTTCCACAGGCCACCGTACCAATCGTTGATGTACAACCGCGCCTAGTACTGCTCCTTGAGTGCCTTGCCTCAGTATCGATGAAAGGAAGCAAAATATTGCCCAGAGCGGATGCAATGACTGCATATCATATTTTTCTGATCTTCATCATCGCTATTTATTCTCCACTACGTATCAGAGTATCACGTATCAAGATCGCTTCTTAGTCGCATACAACGTAGAGGCGATTTCACTGATGATGCCCTTGAGTCTTCTTTGGAATGGCCAACTACCACAATCACTCCAAGGAAAATGCAGGCAAGACAACGTACATCCATCGCATCCAATCGCCCCATGTGAAGAGGCGCCATCTTTGGGACTGTGTTAGTTGGGCCGGAGCAGTCATTGGGACAATTCCACAATCTGAACATGACACGAGGTTATGCATGCGCAAGACATTGAAAGAAAATAAGGTACCTGAAATCAGGTGTTGGATGGCCATCATGTGTGACTGCCTTATACGGCTGGTGAGTCACGGCCACGGATGCTTACTCTAGAGAATATGTCCAATCCAGATCCCCAAGCAAAGGGATCCCAAAGACACACAACAACCTATTACTACTCCAGCTGCAAACGCACAGGCCAGCTGAAAATGGACTGAGCTGATGATTGGGCCAGCAATCACACCCGCTACAGGTTGTGACGTGTTGGGTGCTGCTCCCCTTTCCCGTCTATTCTGAAAACGCCTTATGCGCTCAGAGTTCCACAAGAAATTCAACTGTCCTTTCAATCTGGATATCTCCCTGGCCAGACTGGCAAGCTGGAGGGATTCCCCGTGCATAAATAACAACAAGTTATACTTAAACTGTTTGAACACCCGTTGAAACACTCTTGTAAGGCGCGCGGAGATAATAGGACCACAAATGAGTAAATTTACACTGAATAGTGTCAGGAACAGACCACCTGCAACTTTCCAGAATTTCAACAACTGGTTGGTGTTGATGAAAATGCCCAGCCAATCCTTCGGGCTGGTACCTTGACTACGTATAGTGCCCAAGGATACTAGCACATCATCAGCATACACCTTTACGTCCAGTTTTTCTTTAATTTAGAAGAAAGATCTTATGGTAACTTGTGCATTAATTTTCAATCACTTTCTCTGACAGTTCACTCCAACTCTTTCGCAGCTGGCGAATTTGACTTCTGATTAGGGATTGTTTCTGAGCGTCTTGTGTGTTTCTCTGTAGGTTGTCCTTCACCGGAGCTGGGGGACATACTATACTACTGGGTTTAGATGCAGGTGTCAGCACCTGAGGGGGGCAGCTGGATTTGTCCGCTTTCTCTTCAATGTGACTCATGCCTTTCGGTCCCCCATTGGACGGGAATTAAACAATAATGGATGTGGTTTGTATGTTTCTAATCTTGTAATGGATTCGTACTGCTTTCAGCCTCTGTTTCCCTTCAGTACTGGACTTCGCTGAAGCAGTACTTTGTCAGCTTTGGACTGACCCTGACTAATCGTGGGATTGACTCAACTCTACCTTACTTTGAGTACTTACCTTCCAGCTCCCTCACTTCCAGTCGCACTTAGGTTGGTTCCCACCTCAAGGGATCAAAACTTCAATAGCCTTTTTGAAAGGCTTTCAGGGTCGCCATATATATTAATTATATTTATGAACTCAGTACTTTAGTCTTCACTACTATACTTTAGTGGGAGCCCCAAAGGCTTCCCCACTAAGTACAGGGCCGGATCTGGGACCCCGCAGGCTTCCCCAGTAGATCCGGCCAAGAGTCCTTACTGAATTGATAGATGGTTTGGGGCCCCGCAGGTTTTCCCAATAGACCAGTTTATAATCAGTATAATGACTCCTTAATTGAGACAAAGATCGAGAAAATAAACTCCGAATTCAATTACACCGTGACCCTCCACGGGCCACAACCTGTACTACAAAGAGCGGTTCAAAGTTTAGGTTGCCAAGTCCCTCCGCCTATTGGCTTTGGGGCTGGCCACTTCGGAGTCGGAGCCGCCTGTCCAAATAGGGTTCTGCCCCGCTATTTATAGCCCGCAGCGGCTGTCCCCATGCCAGGAATATTCCCTGAAAGATTCCGATCAGAGCCAGCTAGCTTTCCGGATCATCCCTTCCTTTCTCACTCAGTTTCCCATTCAATCTTCTGATCATTAGCATGTCTACATCATGAGAACATGCTGATCCCATAACCGCCCAGGTTCAAGGCACTCACAGTCCATGTCACTTCTCACAAAGAGCCCAGATCTATTACTCACTGCAAGTTAATCCATTACATCGCCAGTATTATCTTTCTCAATTATTACCCGTCACTTTCTACTATTCAGTTCATCATATTTATCCTTTCATGTCAAATCAATCACTCATGCCAGGTTACTTCAGTGATATTCCAGATCATAGCATGAAATGCAAGCTTATTTTGATCTATTAAGGTCGCACATTCACTTCCCCACAACGTCACATCAGTTCAGGGCATTCTATGTATGATCCTCCAACCGCCATCCTCGCTGTCTGACCTCGATCGCCCTCCGCCCTTGATGCTTGGCTCCCCGCTGTACTCCCCATTGCCGTCGTACATTTCGGCGTCCGCCGCGCGCGGGCCTTTGCCAACGATGACGAATTCGGCCCCTTCGGGCCCTGGCACAGCTTGCGCTCCCCCGAGCAAGCCATCGCCATTGCGCGCCAGCCCTTGCCCCTCGCCCGCAGCCTGCGCATCTCCATGCGCGCCGGTTCCTTGCAGCCCCCCCTGGCCGGGATCCTCTTCCTGGTCCAGGAACCCAAGCGGACAAACTGGCGCGGCTCCCATCCGGGGGGGCCCCTGACGCCCTCGCCCTCCCTTATCATCCATTCCTCATCCGTGGTGACCAAGGATTCGGCAGTCTTGCCTTTCGAGTGCGCGAAGTTGCACATGGGGGGCACATAGAGTCCGCTGTGCACCATTCGCATTCTTGGTTACCATAGTAGTTGGGGTCCCCCGGCTGGCGCACCCAGCCGGGGCCCCATGCAAACGCCTCCTCCGAATGTGCGCGGGCACTTGAGGTCCCCCGCCTAAGCCGCTCGTTGAAGCGCTCCCAGTATGTCACCATCCAACTGGGCGGTAACTGGGATTCGAGCGCTATTCCCCTCGCCCTGTCAGCTTGCTTTTCTTCGCGACGCGTCAAAGCATCCGCCAGCCACATCCCCTCCAAATAATCGACAAGGGGGAAGGTGCCGCGGAAGCTTACCCATGCCTTGACCTTGGAGGCAGCGACTACCTCCCACCGCAAATCCTTAGATCAGAGCAGAAACGCCAACGGCGCACCTCCTTGGCCTTCGGCGGGGTGGATGGCTGGGCCTTCCCCCTTCCATCCAAAAGCCTTAGGCTTCTTGTGCATCG